TTTCTTCTCTCTCTCTCTCTCTCTCTCTCTCTCTCTCTCTCTGTCTCTCTCTCTCATCTTTTTCCCTCCCTCCCTTCTTTCCACCACTCTCTTCCTCACTATGCAATTTGGAAAGATGCAAGGTGTTATTTCTCAGTTAATAAACGTTTACATTCCCTGCAAAAGCCCTTGGCCCTGCCGGCCCTGTATGAAAATATATGCATGAATGTTTTAAGGCTGAAGATCTTTCTCCCTCTGAACAGACTTGAACCTACCAATCCAGCCTTCTTTCGCGCCTGCAGGAGCTCCTGGATCAAGTTCTGCAGCTCCTTTCCTTCCAGGTAACCGCTTCCTGCAAAGACAAAGAGGAACCCAGGTGTCAGATATCTCATCCCAAGTTTCTTCAGTGCTCCATTTCCAGGAATGCTACATTTCTGGAAACCCGAGAAGCTCTCTCCAGCTTCCGCATCGATTAAGCAGCGAAGGTAGAGCTATGCAGCGCTCCCCTAGCCCGGGCGTCAAACTTTAGCGGCACCGAGGACAAAGGGGATGGTCGCAGCCACAGAAACTTTTGGGGAGCAGGCTTCCCCAAATCCCTGGTCTGTCTGTTCTACCATTACCATTCCTAGAAAGATGCAAGTGTATGGTTCGGGGATTTCATGCAAGCAAAATAAACTTTCAGGTTAAAGGTTGGGCAGCCAGCTGGGGAGATAGGGTTAGGCAGAGTAGGGGAATAAGTAATAATAGAAAAGGACGACAGCGAGATCAGGTGGCTCAAGGGATGTTCAAAAGAGAAAAGGGAAGGGAGACTTGGAACGGTTAAGAACAAGATAATCACCGTCAGAGTCGAAATGAAGCCAGATCTCGAAAAACTGTTTGGCTGTGATCAGGGATGACTGCAGGTGGGATTCTGCCATTGTACAGCGAGGCGTGTGTCTGCGTGTGCGAGTGTGCGAGTGGGTCCGTGCGGGCGCCGGGCGGAGGAGGAAGACCTGGGCGCGGCGCTGCCGGGCGCTGTCCTCGGTGCTGCTCTGCTCCGGCGATCCTTGAGTTCTCTGCACCCCGCACCCAGTTCTCTGCCTTTATCCCGGCGGCCCCAAGCCGGCCACGCCTCCTCCTGCCTTCCTCGCCGCACTCCCCGCCTCTAGTTCTCACCCACCTTCTCCCCTCCCTCCTAGTGCTCTGCTGTCTTCCCGGGAAAGCCAGCCAGGGCAGGAGTATGGAGTTTGGCAAGCAGCAGGTGGTGGGAGAGTTCTTGCTCAGAAATTGAATGCTGAAAACAGAGGCTCACTTCCCCTCGCACTCTCCTAGTTCAGGGTGAATCTTATTCCAGAATATTATAGCACAACAGCACACTTTGAGAAGGATTGCTTTTCAGATGGATAGGTAAAGCAGAGGAAGGGAAAAGCCGTGTAAATGGTCGTTATGTTTGAGTACCATTTCCCCAAGACTGTTTAGCATTTGTTTGAACAAAATCAGGTAAAAGCTCAGCAAGCTTTAATTTGAGTGAATCGATTGATGCCAATAATCATTCTGTTTTGTGCCTGTGAATTCTATATTATGGCTGTTTTTTAAGAGCAGTTCACTCCTTGTCAACACAAGACAGAGAATTAAGCCTGTTTTTTTTTTTTTTTTTTTTTTTTTTTTTTTAGCTTGAAGTAAGATTGTAATTTGAAAGCAATAGAATTAAATTATAATATATTAAGATGCCAGATAAGGTAGTGATCTTAGAAACTTACTTCCTTGAAATTTAGAAAAAATAGACTAAACCAAAGGAAAGGGATGATCAGGTTACTATATCACTTTAGGTTTATTCTTTAATTTAACATAACTTTAGAATACCAGCCACAGCCTCATTCAGGGGTCTTAACACACACAAGTCTCCCTTCTATCTCTGACAGAAAATTTATTTCAAAACTGGAAGTCACTAGAGTTAGAAAAAGCGACCTAAGTAAATACCTGCTGTGATATGTATTTTAATGTAATATTTAAGCTGATTATTATTTGTATAAATTCTTTTGAACTATTTGTCTTTCAATCTTTGCAAGGTCTACTGGAAACGGACTCCAAATATCTGATCAATGATACAAAAGGATCATGAAGGAACAAGAGAAAACTCAAACACAGTCAACTCAAAACTGAACTCATGAAAGTTTAGAAATTTAAAGTGAATTCAGTAAGCCTCATATGTTGACACTACATGATTGAATATCTGAACCCTTAAATGTATGTTTCTGAGGCCTTGGATCTATCCTGTAGTGGACTATGAGACTTTTAATGAATAATGTTTTTTCATTTTTTTAAATAAAAAGAACTAGCCTACTTCACCAACAATATCAATAGAATGTTCACTGCCATAGTACTTGACAGTTAATAAATTATTTTCACTTCAGTTATCTGGTTATCATTATAGTTTCTGAGTTGCTACCACATGCAATTAACTAGAATTTGCAAGGTTGATACATTTATAAATTCTTTGATTTAAAAGAGATCCATTTGTAGTTTCATTCATCCAATGGCAAATCATTAACACTTATAGTATCAAGTACTCTGCTAGACACTGGACATAATGAAATAAAAGATATGCTCCCTGCCTCCTGGAAGCTTAGATGTAAGTACATACTGATAGAATGGAGGAATGCACATGCTACTATTGTGGGAAAATCTTCTAAATTTCTACTGTGTGAGTTTGGAGACTGTGTTGCCTATAACTCTCACAGAAAACATCATTCCAAGGTAGATATTTTGGGGCATGAGGAGAAATGACCAAGGGAAAGAAAGGCCAATATTTTGTGCAAGTTTGTCCTAAGCTCTGGAAAATTAAATATCTCCTGTTTTGTCATTATATTTGTGGCCAAAATCTTTAGATGAAAAAGGCAGAATGTAAACATGAAAGAAGCTATGAAGAGAAGGGCTAAAGAGGAAGCAGTGGCTAGGGAGTGATTTGAAGGTGGACTGTGACCCTTTCAGTCCTGACAGAGCTAACAATATCCTGCACAGGATTAGGGAAGAATTTTGAGACAAAATTGGCAGAAAAGAGTAAAGTAACATAAAACTGAAAAATTGATGAAAAAAGAATATTTTTACTATTTTTGTAATTATACTAATTTTTTTTCCTAAGTAAAACTTTCCAAAGCTACATGCTTAGATACTTAAGTTGTTCTAGAATTTTATCTCAAGTTCCAAGTAGTAAAGAAAACTTTTAAAATTTGAAAAAGTTTAATCAGAAAGCACTTTCTGAAACTTTTGTTATATGAACAGTACTTTCAATTTCCTTTCTTGAAATTGTGACAACTGCAGAGGTTCCATGTGAGAATGTTTAGGCATGTGAACTGGTGAGGTATGGGGATAAGAAAGAAACAAGACATTCTTGCTGCTTGTTATGTGTTCTTTGGAGTGATATCTGAGGGTGCTGATACAGAATATGGAGATTCAAATTTCCCTTTACATCACCTTTAACGTTGGCAGTTTGACGTAGTGGGTATTGAAAGAGTCAAGTTTATAAAAACATACAAATACACATGAATGAATTTTTTGTTACTGTTATTTGGTACTAAGAAAAGAGTCTATGTTCTGAATATTATTTTCTTAACCTTTTTACATTCAATGAAGGACATCTCTCTATTACCAATAGTAACATTTAATTCATACTTTTTAAAACAGGTAATAGTATTCTATTGATTATCTATTATTAAGGACATTTAGTTTTTTTCCTAATGTTTTACTGTGACAAACAATGTTGGGCAAACATCTTCATACATTTATCTCGGATACATGCATTTCTAATTAAAATGGGAGCGAGTTCCCAAAGTGGCACTTCTAGTTCAAAGGTACACATATTTTACAATTTAATACACATTTGTAGGTCATTTTCTCCAATTTTCAGCTACTCATACTCAACAGAGCAACGTGCATGGTGTCTTATCCTCATTGACTCTGGATGTTCTTGTTTAAACTTCTGTACTAATCTGGTAAGCAAAGAATGGGTTGCTATTCTTTCTGTAATTTGCATTCACTAGTATTTCTTAAAATTTACTTTTTAACTTTCTAAGATGGAACTTCCATTTCTTAATTGTAATGATAATCTGAATAGTAGAACTATAATTCAGAAAAATGTTTCTTCCTTGAAATGGCTATTTCGTTACTGTCAAGTTGATGTCACCTCGCAGACTTATATTTTAAATCGTATGTAGATTAAATTGTCCCTCTGGGTACCAGAAAAGATGTGTACGTTTCAGATCTACAAGTTTGAAAATTTACCTAGCTTGATAAATACTTGCCACCTTCCCTGCATCCTTTAGTTCATTAACTAAACTACAAAGGAACTTATTTTCCAGTGCTCAGCTATCCTAACCTGGGGGGCTTAACACCAATTTTGTCATAAAGGCACATTGTTGCAGGTGCATGATGGCCACATTTATTCTTTAGACTATTTCTATTTATGAATATTAATTTTATGAATTTTATTATAAGAAACAGTGAATACTTAACAGCTAAAAATTAGAATGTTTAATATTTATGAAAAGAGCATCAAAATTTTCAATATTGCTTTCTTTTGGTTTATGAAGTCTAGAAATAAACTCATATATGAATTACAATAAAACTACCAGTAAGTATTTACAAAAAAAAATAATCTTTGCTTCAGTGATCACATAGAAGGCAGTCTTCACACATGACAGTAGGGTGTGACACCTACAATGTGTTGCTTACCCCGACAGCACATGTGTTTCTCTTTCCTGATCCTTTTGTAGGACATACTTGACATCTTACTCATCTTGCTGCTTTGTCAGGAGGTTATCACACTATATAATGTATAATAGGAACATAAAATATCAATAAAATCAAGTATTAAAATTTTAATATTTTTGCACATTTAAGAATACACATGCATTAACAACTAAAGTTTGCAGACCAAAAATTAGACAGATAGATGGGCTAAAAAGATAACAAATGCTTTGGCCCTAGTTCTTCAAGGTCAGTGAGGACTCAGGACGTAAGGGAACTTGTGCTGTGACATCCTGTAACTAAGTGGTAGCACAAATTTTCTGATCAAGGAGATTAGGGGGCCACAGAGGAAGATGATTGATGATGCATAGTGGGCCTAAGGAAAGACCCCTAGAGAGGAAAAATTCTCTCAGGCTTTTACAGAGAGCAAATCGGTCAAGCAAGGGCTGTGACTGATCCAGATGGCTGACACTGACACAAGATCCACAAGGTGCTGTACATGATTCCAGGGTAAATCCTGATGGGATTTGACTGACCTTATATGATAGCAAAAGTTACTTTTTTAGTTATATAGGTCTTGCTTTAACTTGGTCTTAACCATCCAGCAGAAAAGTGTAACCAAGAGATATAAAAAGTAAAGCTATATTATATGCTGAGCTGTAAAAGGCTCAAGTCAACTTTGGACAATTGCCAGTTGTGCTGGTAACTCACTACTATTATGGACTATTGGACTATATTGGGTTATTTTGCTGAATTCAAGTACCTACAATATTTGGTCTGGCATCAAGTATGAAAAGGTCCTTTAAAGACTTCTCCAAATACAGCTTCTCTAACAGCAGTGGAACACCCATCTCTGACAAAACAAAAGAAAAAAGGAGGATACGAAAGACCATTTTTAATGAAAAAATATATGTATATACAAGATAATTAGGATAGATATACAGCTACTTTCTGTTAGTTCAATGAAAAGAGAGGTTTTTACTAATATTGTTTAGACAAGATATCATATCTACATCTTTTTCTCTGAATAACTACTATGAAGACAACAATATGCAATGTGTTAATTATTGTAGCTGTCCTACTAACCTGTTTTGAAACTGTTTCATTGCTATTTTATCTTTTTTTGTCATTAAAATGAATAAAAATTTAAAAAAGAATAAACATTCACATTTTCACTTCAGTTATCTACTTGCTTACAAAAGCTAAATTATAACAAAGAAATAAAGAAATAAATTTCAGGGCTGGCCAAATAGCTCAGCCGATTAAAGTGACTGCAAGCAGGCTCAGGGGCTGGAGTAAGATTCCCTGGCCTGCCATCCTGGCCCTGCCAGCAGGGAACTCT